AAAAAAGAGCTTAGGATGTCAGAGGATAATAAACAGGAGATTAATGAGAAATAAGGGGAAGGTACAGAAAGTTGTTCTTTTTAATTTGCTATAGGTTGCATGTGATTGCCAGATAGAGGAAGAATGAGACAGGGAAACTGAGAAAGCATCCCTCTGAGGGGATGGGCACATGGCAATCCTTTCTCCAGTCTCCTCTCAAGATTTTGGCCACTTATGCTCTCAGCATGTTTTCCAAGCTGCCAGGCTGGGACTTCAACTGTGCAGTGGGCCATGTGCAATCCAGCCACCTTAACTACCGCACCATTGGCTAGTCCATTACAGAAAGTTTTGATTAAGTAATTTCTCATACAGGTGTGAGTACCCTGTCTCCTTTCCGACTGTAAATCTCTCAGAAATGTATGGCAGTTGTAGTTATTTTGTGGGGTGTGCTACTATGTGTGTGGTGTTTTAGACAGGGTCTTGTTGTGTCATGATCTTCCTGCTGTGTACTCCATGTTCAGCTTCTTTGGCCTGGGTCTCACCATATTGCCCAAAGTGAAAATGAATGAGGGCTGAACTAAAAACAAAATGTCTTTTCTAAAAGAAGTTTGGCCTACACAATTCATTTATATTGTAATGGCTCAAAGCAAGGGATAAGACTTCAGACTTTGGTTTTGGTAATCAATCAACATTGGTCATGAATGAGGATCATAAGACTTCTATTGTACAACTCCCACTTAAAGGAAAGAGGGGTTTGCTGTTGTTTTGTAATTTTGCTATACAGCTAGCCAGAGAAAAAGAGAGAACACCCTCCACTCCCATGGTCATGCTGCAATCCCTTCTTTCCATTCTCCTCTTCTTGGGATTTTGGCCATGCATTCATGCTCCAGAGGCATGTTTCTCAAGCTGTGGAGTCCCAGACTCAGCAAAGTCAGCCTGTGTGGAATCCAGCTGTCTCAACCACATCACCACCAGCTGGCCCCAAATAAGGCTTTAGAAACAAAAAAACAATTATTTCATTTATTGTAATTATTTTTAAAAATTTGCTA